TATCATGGAGGAAATGCTGTGAAAGAGAAAGTTGAAGGCATGGAGGCTTAAACTTTTAATATGACCGCTGAACACAAGGATGAAGGGCAAAGGGAATTCAGATTCATGGTGGCCAGATTAAGACCTTTAGCGGATCTGTCTCCCAGCCCCACATACCCACTTCCAGGTTCTGCTTTTTTATGAAGCTCAACATCTGCAACCTTCATTCTCTGACTCCCTTACATTTTCTTAGGCTTTTTGCTAACGTCTGCCAAAAAGAGGCCCTGGCAGGAGATCAGATGGCACGGGGCAGAGGTAAGGATTCCATGCAACAGGTGCTGGAAGTTGCTGGTGTGGCAATGAAGACTGGGCCCTGGTCAAGGGAGCACTACTTTGGAAGATCCAGAATCAACCATGATAATTGTAACAGTGCAGCAGTAGACACAGGTCCCTGGTGCTGGAATCCAATCCAGGGACAGGAGCAACATGTAGTCACTGAACACCATCTTGCCTTCATGTCACTTTTCCAGTTCTTCTTTCTCCCTCTTACTCTACCAGCTACCTGTGGAGATGTTTAACCTTTTATCTGTAGCTATCTGCTTAGGAATAAAAGAAAAGGCAGCTTATTGCATGACTCAGCTTTCAGCTTGACTTTCTTTTGGCAGAGTGAATTGGGGTCCCAGGTTTTTATATTCCTTTTGCAGTATCTTTCCTCAACATGCAATTTAATAAAAAAAAAAAAAAGAACAATAAACCCTAACAAAGTTTGGTGTGTATTTTTCCAGACTTTTCTCTTTGATTTTACATACATTTATCTGAATCCATGTAGACTATGTCATATGTGTCTGTGTGTTTATATACTTTTTTTTGGTGTGCATCATTCTGCAACTTGATTTTTTGAAAAATTTGGTAACTGATCTTGGAGATCTGCCCACGTTGTTACACATATGAGATTTTTGTATTTCTTTTAATTAATGGTGTTCAAGTAGCCATTTATGTAATGATGAACATTCAAGTTTTTGCAATTATTTGCTCTTAATAAGGTGCCCTGGTGAACAAACATTCTTGTACATGTGCCAGAGTTTCTCTGGAGTAATTAACCAGCGTGGAATTACAGAGTTGTAGAATGTGTGCATTTTTAGTTTTACTAAAACTAAAGTAAAACTTTAATTTTACAGTTTGCCCAATTGTTCCTCAAAGTGGCCGTGCCCATTTATACTCCCACCCATGGGCAGGAGAGTGTCCTCTTTAATTCTTGATTTTTCTAAGCTGTTTAATTTTGGTTGGGAGATAAAACAGTATCGTTCTGTTTTAGTTTTCATGTCCCTATGGACTAATTTTAGCATTTGAGCATCATCTGATAGGTTGGTGATGGCTACTTCGGGCTGACTTGTGCTTGTGAGGTGGTGTGGCCCATACTCCATGGTTTTCAGTGGCAGGCCTTATAAATGGCTCTTTTTGACAAAAAGATTCACTAAGAAGCTTACTGTGGTATCTTTAAAAAAATAATATTTTGTGAGTACATAGTAGGTGTATATGTTCATAAAATGTATATACATGAAATTTTTTGATATGGCCATACAATGAGTAATAATCCCATCAGGGTAAATGGGGTATCTATCACCTCAATCACCAGGGTTTCTTGTGCTGCCAGAAAATGCTACTGAGCTGTCAGTTGTCTGAGGCTGTTGACCTGGACAGAGGCAAGGGGGAGAAACCCAGCCCCAGGCCTGGCCAAGAGCAGGACCTGTGCAGATGCCCCCAGAACTGTAGGTGCCAAGCAGTGAGTGGCAGCCCCTTTTGTGGCAAGCCTCTGTGGAGGGCCACTGTTCAGCCTTGGGGTTCATTATATTTCGGGGAAGCTGGACAGTGTTATAGATTCCTTCACATGATATATAATCCTGTGATGAATTTAGATTCCCAGGCTTCAAGCAGCATCCAGTGGGGAACTATAACCTTTCTGCTTTGATAAAATGGAAGAGGGAAGGACAGGGAAGGGCAGTGAAACCTGAGATTGGTTATGGTTACACTTCAGTTAATTTTTTTTTTTTTTGACAGAGTCTTGCTCTGTTGCCCAGGCTGGAGTGCAGTGGCACCATCTCAGCTCACTTCAATCTCCGCCCCCGGGGTTCAAGCGATTTTTCTGCCTTAGCCTTCCGAGTAGCTGGGACTACAGGTGCATGCCACCACGCCTGGCTAATTTTTGTAGTTTTAGTAGAGACAGGGTTTCACCATATTGGCCAGGCTGGTCTCGAACCCCTGACTTCGTGACCCGCCCGCCTCGGCCTCCCAAAGTGCTGGGATTACAGGCATGAGCCTCTACAAGATGCTATTCAGCAAGTTAATGGAGTCACCTTCCCTGCAGACCTCAGTTATATTCTGGCAGGAAAGGATCAACTCATTCTGTTATGGGAGACTCACGTTCAAGTCCAGGCTTTGAGACTCTGTGCCTCAGTTTCCTAACCTGTAACACTGAGTGCTGCCTCCCTCGGGGCGGGGGGATCCTGCTGTTAATAAGCACCAAGCCAGAAATCAGGACCACAAATTCTAGTCTTTGCTCCAACAGGAACTCTCTGGGTAACTTAAGCGTTTTTCCTTAAGCTCTCTCTCTTCCTCAGTTTTTCAATCTGTAAGAGGGTGTAAGCATGCCTGTTGCACTGGATCCTGTGGAATTAAAGACGACAGGACGTGTGAAGAGTTTGGATAAATGCCGCGGATATAGCCTTCAGGTGCAAACTCAGGTGTGCGGGAAAGTGGACTGGGAGTCTTTCCAGCCACAAACAACTAAAACCTAACTTTAGATGTAAAGAGTATATGCAGTTTTGGATGAAACCGCTTGGCCGGGGCGATTTCCGGCCTATCTTCCCGGGAAACTGGGCAGCAGGCTGAGAGAAGATTTCCAAAAAATGAGGACAAGCTCTGAAGACCAGCACCGCATCCTCCGGCTCTTCCAGGGTCTCACGGCCCTGGTCGGCTCCCGCGCGCCTCCTGGTGCCGTGTCCCTGCCACTGCCCAGAAACCACGTGTAAGAAAGTGCTGACAACCTAACTACGCACTATGGTTTCGACCCATCCCAACCAGTAGGGAAGGAGGAGGCGGGGCGGAGGAAAGCGAGGGCCCAATCCCCTCCCGCTTTCCGAGGGGAAGGCGGGGCTCGGGGTTTACCACGTTGGGTTTGTCCGCAGCGCTAATTACTTTTTCCAAAGGCTGTAGGGCTTCACTCCGGCTGGCGCCGCCGCCTAGCGCGCTCCTGCTTCGCCGCCACGGTCCGGGGGCTGCCGGTCCCGGGTACCATGTGTGACGGCGCCCTGCTGCCTCCGCTCGTCCTACCGGTGCTGCTGCTGCTGGTTTGGGGACTGGACCCGGGCACAGGTAGCGCCCCCTCCCACAGCCCTCTTCGCCCCGCGTCCTGCGGCTACCTTCCCTGTGCGCTCTCGCGGCGTCCTGGCG